ATATGAAGTATTTGAAAAGAATAAATCAATTTAAAGCAGGTTAAAAAGTGGATGTGAAGATGCAGTTTCCAGTTTRTTCCTACAGGTTTGGCACACAGCAAGCTACCAAGGTCTGAAGTCCGGGACTTTCTTCTGGCCTGGTTCAGACGTCAAGATCAATGGAAGTTTCCCAGACAAATACAAACCTTATGATGGGTAAGATGTGGTACAGGATTCTACATTTCTGCACTGAACAATGTTAGGAATTTGACCTTTTTGATTACTTTAACCCAAAACCATGGCATCAATGGAGTGTGTGGCTGGACTTTTATGTTTCTGTTTCTCATTGTCATTTTACATAATAATGAGAATAATAAGAATAGGAAAAATGAGAATATAAGAATAATACAAATAATAAAAAAATAATGAGAATAATAAGAAATATAAGAATAGGAAAAATGAGAAAATAAAAATAATACAAATAATGAAAATAATGAGAATACTAAGAAATATACAAATAACAAGAATAATAAGAGTAAAAAGAATAATAAGAACATTAAGAATATGATTTTTTGTTGAAGAAATGTCTCTCAACCAAACTAAAGCACGGATTGATTCTTCTGCTCACAACATGTCTTTTTTTCCATTTTAGATCAGACCAGTAATGTTCATACATTTTTAATGACGAAGGCTCTATTCTACATCAATATGCATCCACAAAGTGCATGTGGGTTTCAAATCTGGTGCTGAGGCATCAATCCTGAGGTCATTCTTTCTGACATAAAGCTTTAATCTGACTTTTTTTTCTCACCTGAGGTCATTTGTGAAAAAAAGGAAATTCCAGTAAGTAGGCCAGCTGGGAGGACAGGAAACTGTGGATCGAGTGTGCCCAAAACCACATAATTTATGGGCTAAAGGAAAACATAATAGGAAATGAATAGTTACTGAAGCCAGATCCTCAGACAGGCTTTAGCAACCACTAATTGGTAGATGTGTTTAATCCTTTTATTAGAAACCAGGCTGAGTTGGACCCAGCATGCTGAGTGAAGTCTCCAACTCAAAATTGGGGTAAAATGACTAATTTGTTGAGTTACAACCAAGAAGTTAAGTTATAAAGAACAACACAAATGTTTGTTGTTAAAGGTAATATATGCCAAATCCACTTTTTTAGCTGTTAAATACATTTTGTTGTGGACTTGAAGTGTCTAGGAGGCAGAAACGTTGAGTTTAGTCTCTCCTGTAAAAGTATCTTTATTTTCTGTTTGGGTCAGATTTTTCAGTCTGTTCAGTTTTCTCTATTTTCAATGACGTTTTCTYAGTTTATTACGTCAAATTTTCTGCGAAAGAATTGCCAAATGGGATCTGGACTTACCAAACACAATTTCCTCTTTTTAATTCTCCTCTGGTTCTGGGTCAGACTCTGGTTCTGGGTCAGACTCTGGTTCTGGGTCAGACTCTGGTTCTGGGTCAGACTCTGGCTCCAACGTGTAAGGCTGAATGAACAAGTCTTCTGTTGTTGATATATTTTAATTAAATTGTAAATAAAACATTTCTGAAAACTAGAAAACATACCCCCCCACCCCCTCTCAAACCGGAGCGGACCGGTCTGGAAGCCGAAGTGGGCGGAGCTTGAAGCATCTTAAAGGAACAGTATCAAATCCAGGCTCTGAGGCACACAGCAGAAAAGGGGTGAAAGAGGAGATGGTAAAGTTGGAATAAGAAGGAATTCAGACCGAAGTATTGTAGTTCCACTTTACAAAAACCCAACTGAATGATTTAAATGTGAAAAATGAAGGATTTAAAAGCATGATATGTCTACTTTAAATAATTGCAAATTGGGTGGTGTTAGCTGGCATTAATTAGCATCAGCAACTTATGGTAGTTTTACAAATTTCACCATTGCACCTTTTCTCAATATGATCTAAATCAGAAATACAGTCAGGTCTAATATGTTTAACTTATCAATTTTTATTTATCTTTAAGCAGTTTTTACAAAAATATGTTTTAGCCAAAGCACATTTCAATCAAACATTATCAGTTATAGAGATGAAATTGTATAAAGCCTGTCATCAAATCATTCCATCTCCTCTGTCTTCTTTAAGGCAGAATAAAATGAGTTTGTTAGTTTACTGACTTGAGTAAAACCTGCATATTTGACTCATCTTTCCTGGTATTTTTCACTATGGCGTTATCTCTGAGTAAGGATGTGTTTATTGTTATTCCTGCCTGACCTATCTGCTGCTGACGCAGCACKTATGCTCTAAGGAGTTTATATGACCTCAGTGATTTATCTTGTTGAGAATTTTATTTAATTAAAGAAGGAAATAAGTCATAAAACACTCAGGTCCTTGGAAAAGATTTTTGCTAACTTGAATTAACAAAAAGCTGGAAGAATGTGTTTTATACGAAGCACCTTAATCTTCTAATTTTATAGAATGTTATTAACAAAAATCATAAAATTAGGTCAGCCAGCATATCAAAGACTAAGCCAGCATGGTTTGTACGGT